GGTCATATGTAATATAATTCTGTCAAAATTATAAATTAATATTTAGGTTAAAGATTATGAGACAAATATTGCAAGTTGGTTTAAAAGATCCAAGTATTCAGGAGAAATGCAAAGTAAGAAGACATGGTCTGAACTGCTTCTAAATTTTTCCCACAACAGTGAGTTAGGCAACATTCAAGACACTTCCTTATTTTAGCTTTAGAATTTGCAATGACTTCTCTAGATTGATAATAAGATTCTTTGCTTTCCGGGCAGGCAGTTAACAGTATTATTTGACAGGCAGTTGGTGTAAAGCAAGTGCTTAAATTGGCTATTGAAACTGTCATATCAAGAAATGCTCTATGGAACTAGTTTTTGTTCACGTGCCAAAAAAATCCCATGAGTAATCTCCTTTGTGTATTTGGTTTGAATGATGGGGCAGCAGCAGCTAATGTCATCGTTTCCAATGATGGACAGGAGAAAGCTGAATCTTAAGATAAACTTACTTTAATTAGTCCTAATACTGTCAGCTGAAGAGCAGCTCAGACTGTTCTTTACAACATTTCCTTTGAGATTAGGGAAATTCCATATTGACTATTTCCTCCACACTCTAGAAGACAATATCACACATGAAAACATCTGATTTCTTCCTGAGGCATAATGCTGTAATGAATCATTTATTCATTCAAATATTCAAGGATGATTGAGTGCCTTCTATCTGTGAGGTACAGTACTAAGCTTTAAAAGAAAGGAAGAAAGAAAAAAAGAAAAAGAGAAAGAAAGAAGAAAAAACAAACACACCTGTAGGGCTAGAGATATTCTCATTTATAAAGCTCTTGTCTGGCATGTGTGAGGCACTGGTTTCAATTCCAGTACCATAGGCTTCTAGTTTTCTTCCTGTTGCCTGAAAAAATAAAAACAAAACCAAAACAAACACTCAAGTAACAATTTAGGGAGAAAAGGGTTTATTTGGCTTACACTTCCGGGTCATAGTCCATCACTGAAGGAAGTCAGGGCCGGAACTCAAGGCAAGAACATGGAGCAGGAAGGGCAGGGGAATACTGCCTGCTGGCTCCCTAGTGGGCTCATGGCTAACTGCCTTTCTTACGCCTAGGAATGGTGCTGTCCACAGTGTACCTGGTCCTCTGTCAATCACCAATCAAGATAATGCATAATCCTTTACACAGACAGGTGGGCACAGACCTACCTGATACAGACAGTTACAAATTCTCCCTCCCTCCCTCCTTAGACAGAGCTTGTCTATGTAGCCATGGATGGTCCCAAATGCACAAATCCTCTTGCCCCTGCCTTCAGAGTGCTGGCTTTAAAAATGTGTGTCACCACACTCAGACGGAATTAAGACACTTTTCAGGTGATTCTAGGCTGTGTCAAATTAACAGTTAACGCTAATTAGGATTCACAGTTGTTTTTTTTTTTTAAACAAAAGTGTATACAGTAGATATTCGAATGAGCCCAATAATTAGCCGTAGTTAATGGTTATAGACAATGAGTGTAAATTCCGAACGTTGTTACTGAATACTGCAATACAGCAGAGAAAGAGTGAAGACTTGAGTACTAGAATGACATTGGGGAAAGCTTGAAGAGATGGGCAGGATTCACGGAATGGGGAACAATGGAGAAAGCACAGAGCAGGCAACATTATTCAGACCATCACAAGGCCAGCTGTATAAAGCACAGCAAATCGGTCCCAGAGCACAGAATTTGATAGCTACTCTAAGGGAGTCTGGGGGCCCGCAACATGAGCATCCCTATCTTTACAATTACAGAATCGATGTGTGGCTCTGTTTGGCTCTCATCTTTGGGTACATTAATGCATCATTTTGTCTGAGAAGCCACACCATCAGCTGTTCCTTCAATTCAGAAAGTGTGATGATCCAGAGAGAGATTGAATGGCTTCTCTCACGATAATAGAAAACTTTTAAAAAGCCCAAATCATACAGTCCTGGAAATAGCAAATCCCTTGCCATACAGAAGGATTTGAATTCCATGTTAAGAAGTTTAAGTTTTATCCTCCACTAATTAAATGATTGTTGTTGTCATGGTGTACTTTATTCTTGTGTGTGTGCTCATGTGTGTGGAGGAGACAAGAAGTCAGCATGGGGACAAATGTCAGTGCCACTGAAGGTCTGAGGGAACCGTGACAGACAGCTGTGGAAAGAGTGAAAAAAAAAAAACCGGTAGCAACATGAAATTTGTGTCTCAGAGCTCATGAATTTTCAGAGCAAGCTGGGAGATTTCCAGGCCAGGTATTGAAGGAATCATTTGGCTCCTGAGAAGTATACGATGTTACAAAAGGGGTGAATGTCGGGTCTGTAAGCACACAGCTGGCTAGTGACCAAAAGGATTAGAAAATGAAACTTCATTCCAAGTTTCTCCAGCTGGCAAAACGGAAGAGAACCCGACGGTGTGCCTGTAGGACCTTTGGTCAAGACTTCAGAAAGCAACTGTGTGTGGTGGCAAGCCTGTAAAGGAGCACTGGAGAAACGGGCAGGGATATTCTGCATGTTCAAGGCCAACCATCCTGGGCTAACAACAGACTGCGTTCTTATCTGGGGAAAAAATAGAGGAGGGCTGAATTGACACGGGTCTGAACTTCAAGTCTTTGGAAGGCTACAAAGCTCAAGAATGATATCGGTGGAGAAACAGTCAGAAGCCGGGGGTGGGGGGTTGGGGGGCAGAGGGCTGGGGGTTGGGAGTGGATTCTGCCCTCCACACCCCAGACTGCCTCATTGTTATAACAGTCAGCTCTGGTTCTCAGCAGCTCGGGATCAAGGATACATATCAAGCTGGAAGTCCGAAACTTTCCCAGTTACTCAGAGAAGGGAAACCAGGACCGCACCAGGCCCTTTACTTAGACCCGTGTGTTATTTGCTTAAGATTAAAAATTAGAAAAAAGGTAAAAGAGAGTGTTGCAGGAGACAGGAACCGGGGATAGGAACCGGCGCCATACAGCACGAGCCATGGAGAATGTGTTAATCATACTTTATTATACAGAGACTGAAAGGGGGAGACAGACACGGGAGAGAAAGATAAGGGAGAATGGAAGATGAGAAAACATAAGCGGGCGGGGGGAGGGGGTTCTATCCTTTTAAAGGGGTCCTTTGCACCTGCGTGCAGACTGGTTCTCATGGAACTATGGGCTGGCCAGAGAACTGCCTGAGTGAATCCTGCCAGGTAACAGGGCAGGCCAGTGTAATGCCTGAACCTTTTACTCTGTGGTTTCCAAATCTGAACCTTTCTGCAGAAACAAGAAGTTGGCCTCCCAGGGAAAACAGTCACAATATGGCTAGGTGCCATTTCCCAGCATCTCTATCAGAGCTGTGTGAAGAAGAGTTGGAAAAGATGGCTCCCTGTGCTGATGAGCGGGTGGGACCTGTGCTGGACTATTTGTGAGCCCAGCAGGAAATCAGGGAGCAAACCCTGTGGTTTTACCCTCTGGAGAGACCCGCTACAGCACCCCGGGGGAGTCGGGGAGTCGGGGGTGGGGTGGGGCACCGGGTACTGCTGCAAATCCAGTGATCCCCAGTGTCCTCCCTGTAAGGGCACTGCTGACTGCCCACCTCCCATGTACTCTCCGCCTCCAGTGTCCCTGCCTCCCCTAGTGTACCGTCGCTGGATGGTGGCATCGATCCCCTCTGGGGAGCTGCATTGATGTGGAACCCCATCGTCAGTGGTCTTCACTGAAGACCTCTGGTTCCTGGGCGGGAGGTCAGGCTCTGGAGCGCAAGCCTGCCGTGGGCAGATCCACTCCTGCTTCCCGCTTTGTCCCAGGAGGCCTTGGCCTCTGGCAGTCACCGTCAGCCTCTTAAGACCTCAAGACCCTCAGAGAAACAAGAGGAACTCAATTGTTTTCTCTCTGAGGAACCACAAAATCTCAAAATGCTGTACCTGCGGCTTCTTCCTTTGGTTTTTGGAGGCAGGGTTTCTCTGTGGCTTTGGAGACTGTCCTGGAACTAGCTCTTGTAGACCAGACTGGTCTCGAACTCGGAGATCTGCTTTCCTCTGCCTCCCGAGTGCTGGGATTAAAGGCATCCGCCATCACCGCCCGGCTCACCTGTGGCTTCTTTATGCGAATTTAAATGGGGGGGGAGAATTAGATGTGAAAACAAAACACATCCAATTTTAAAATTTAGTAAATTATTGGATTATATCAACTGAAAAAGATTAAATTGGCTGGCTGTGGTGGCTCATGCTTATGATCCCAGCATTTGGGAGGCTGAGGTAGCAGGGTCGTTATGGGTCTGAGGCCAGCCTGGGCTACAGAGTGGAACTCTGAAAAGAAAAAAGAAAAAAAAGATTAGTTAACTCTGAGGCTATGTAATATACAATATGTAATCCAAGCATTTAGAGTTGAGGCAGGAGGATAACAAGTTCAGTGTCAGCTTGGACCACACAGCAAGACTCTGTCCCAGTAAACAGGATAAAAAAGCAAGTTGCTTCTGATAAAATGACCAATTGACAGGCGGCCAATAGAAGGGGTTTAAAGCACCATCTCCACCTAGTGGCCACTTTTGACTAGGAGCATAATAGTTCATTTATGACTACAGTGGGTAACAAATTCAATAATATAGAGCATTGAAGAATGAAACTAATGGTCATTTCGTAGTTCCCCAAATCTCATGTTATAATTTAGCATATAGCTGGGCATGGTGAAATACGCGCACTCAAGAGTAGCCATGTCTACATAGTGTGAGTTCCAGGCTAGCCAAGGCTGCAGAGTGAGATCCTGTCTCAACCAACCAGCCAGCCAGCCAGCCAGCCAGCCAGCCAGCCAGCCAGCCAGCCAGCCAACCAACCAACCAAAAATCCAAACAAAGTTGGATAGTGGAGGCACACACCTCTGATCCCAGCACTCGGGAGACAGAGGCAGGTGGATCTCAGTGAGTCTCAAGACCAGCCTGGTCTACAGGGAAAGTTCCAGGACAGCCAGGGCTGTTACACAGAGAATCCCTGTCTCAAAAACAAAACAAAACAATCTCAAATAGCAAACAACAAATATCTTAGTGCTCTTCTGCAATAACAATAAAGTCCATTTATTTTACATTTTAGTGAATATAATATGCATAAGACAAGGACAAAGTGAGCAAATTTAGGTTTCTTTGGGTAAGAATCTATACTAAAAATCAGAGCAATGGGAAGTGGTACATGTTGCAATTTTATTTTTTTTAATAATTTATCTAATGTGCACTGATGTTTTTGCCTGCATGTATATCTGTGTGAGTGTGTTGGAGCCCATGGAACTGGAGTTACAGTTGTCAGCTTCCATGTGGGTGCTGGTAATTGAACCCAGGTACTCTGGAGGAATAGTCAGTACTCTTAACCGCTGAGCCACCTCCAGCCCTTGCAATTTTTAATATGGCAATTTGAGTGAATACGTTGAACAAGTCATTTCTATGTAGTTGTCTCAAGAAAAATACAAATCTCCCAATATAAGTGTATTGTGAGCACTTCCTGTACTTCCTCTGAGATTACTCTTTAAAAGATATTCACTTTTATGTTTAGGTATTTGCCTAAATGTAGATATGTACACCTGGTATGTATAGGAGTCCATGCAGGCCAGAAGAGTGATGGAATCCCCTGGAACTGGAGTTACAGTTGAGAGACACCAAACGGGTGCCGGGAATCGAACCTGGGTCCTCTGCAAGAACAGTAAGAGATACTTACTGCTGAGCTTTCTCTTTAGCCTCAGAGATTACTCTTTATTGTGGAAGTTCCAAAGTTTGCCTACAGGGACTTATTTTCATAAGTTTTATGGTGATGTCTTTTTTTTCTTTTCTTTTCTCTCTCTTTCTTTTGAGATAGGGTTTTCTCCCTGTCTGTCCTAAAACTCACTATGTAGACCAGGCTGGGTTTGAACTCACAGATCTCTTCCTGCCTCTGTCTCCAAGCACTGGGACTAAAGCTGTGTGCTGCCCAGCGTTTACAGTGATGTCTATTAGCTCACTTACAAATGTGGCATATTTTCCCTCTTTTAAGGAGAACTCACACTCTCAGGTATTTTCTGCAGTTGTACTCAAAGGAGGATCTATAGGAGTATACGTCTGAAGTAGCAATAACCAAGACCTGCCGGGCGTAGCAGCCCATGTTGTAGAGGTGGGCAGGTCAGTGGACTCCTAAGCATGCCTGATGTGTGAAGCATGTAGACAAGGCAGTCCTTACAGAGTCATAAATGGAATGCCATTAACTGGGAAATTGTCTAGTGTTCTTTAAGCCAAGAAGCTGAAGATGGAGACAGGGTTGGCTGTGCTCCTTCTGGGCCAAGCATCCTAAAACTCCCATCTCCCCTGTGCTGAGGCAGCCTGGTCTGTGTCTCTGTAGTGGGGAGAGAAAAGCACCAAGGAACAAACAAACACAAAAACAAAACAAAAATTGCTGTGTCCTTGAGAACTGCTAGAAAGTGAAGCATTTCCAACAGAAGCTACTAGTGTTTGAGCCATGTTATAAAATGCCTAGAATGAAAATAGCCAGAAACTCAGCAATGTGACGCTCATCAGGGGGAACGAGGGCTGGGCTCTCGGAATTCTCAACGTCGAGCGCTGGCTTTGCTTCCAGGGCTTCAGTCGGTTTCTGCTGGTGGACTGTAAGGGCCAGACCCGGCCACAGTTCTACCTGCAAAGTTCTTCCACATGGAAGTCTCCCCTCCCCTCAGGAACTCTGGGTTGTTGCCTCGGTGAGGATTCTTGCTGACTTCTGGTGGATGCTTAAGTTTCTGATTTGACACTACCGTTTCTTTGCTCTTCCAATTGGGCTACCCCAGTTGACTCTCTGCAGGATGTTTTGAGCACCTGAGTTAATGATGCTTTGTTATTTGTTGCTTCTGTCTCCTACTGGTTTACTTAATGTCTTTTTGTTGTTGTTGTTGTTGCTTATTTTATACTCAGTAAACTAATTCATGGCTACTATAGACCATTCTCCAGACCTCAGAAGTGTCTAGGAAGAAATTCACTTTCTGGAGCAACTTTTCCTTGTAAGGAGTGTTCCTTTGGGTGAAGATCAGGGTATTGGAAGATTTAATTCAATGTCTATGTAGTAAATTTAAGCAAAAACAAAATAGACACTCTTGCAGGAATGAAAAGTATTATAGCCATTATGAAAAACAGTATGGAGGTTCCCCCCCAAAATAAAATACTGTAGTATCCCCTTTGGGGTATCTATCCAAAGATAATTAAATCAGTCTGTTAAAGAGATACCTGCACGCATATATATATATATATATATATATATATACATACATATATATAAGTACTATACATAGTATATAAATATGCATATAAAAACATCACACTGTGCAACAACATACATATAATTTTGTCAATTAAACCTTAGTAAAGCTAGACCAAATCTTACGCTGTTCGTAAACTTCCAAGCAGATGAAAATTTCCATAATAAATAAGAAGACAATATGCAAAGTTTACATTTGGAAGAACCCCTAAAAAGTGCTGTAATTTCCGGCGAAAACTCAAGCGTTTGAGATAATACTACTTCTCTACGTTTTCAGGAACTTAAAGGAAAATAAGCCAGTTTGTTGTTGTTCATTTCTTGCACTTGAAGTACTCTTCAATGACATCTTTAGCCTGAGATTCTTCGCCATAGTTCTTAACCACCACACAACTACAACCTATCACCTTGCGGGGTTTGCCCTTTCGATCAGTCTTGCAGAGGCCTACCCATTCCCCTAGTTTCTTGTTGTCATCAACCTTAATTAGGTTAATTTGGTGCTCAGCACAAAGGGATTCCACCAACTTGATGTACATAGGTTTATCACAGTTGGATGCAAGCACGCAAAGATGGGCTTGGCGCTTGCCCAAGGCTTTGGCAGCTTCGTGAATTCCTCGTGCCAGGCCATCGTGGACCAGGGCGGTCTTCAGCACCTCTTTCAAAGCAGTACTGACGTCCATTTCAGCTCCAGCAGCAGAGCCTTCCTTGGCCATGGCGGTGGGTGTCAGGTGGATCCGATCTGGATCTGGAACGCACGCGAGCCTCTGAGCGGAGCGCAGAAGCAGGGAACGTTTCTAGGAATTTTAGGGACCACTCAACCCTTTCAAAACCACTCAGCAACTATCGAAAACAACGTAACTTCCAACCCAAGTCGCAGGAGGTAATAAATTCCCAGTCCCGCGGAGGCGGAAAGGCGGTCAGGTGGCCACCTAGAGGACAAAAATTAGAGGACACCTCAGGAACGAGGCTGCTCCGTGTGACAGGTGGCACGCAGTGAGTATGGGTGGCTCTCAGTGAGCACCGGTGAGCTTTCTCGTTATTGTTACGTAATCTTGGCTGCTTCTGCAGGAAGGCATCTGGGGAAGAGTGGACCGCCTCCGCAGACTGCTCCAGGATCTACAACCACTGCGATGCTGCAACCTGCACCGGCATCCTGCGCCCGCGCTTCATCGATCTCTCACCCTTATTTTGCGTTGGCCGATTCGCCATTATATGGTGTCTGAATTTAACACGAAAAGGACTCGAATTTTAACACATGAGAAGGCCTCACTGTTCGGAAAAGTGGAATCAGGAAACGGTTTTGGTTTCTAAATTTTTTGTTGTTGTTGTTATCGTGGTGGCGCCCGCTTCAGCTACACTCAGAGCGCCGGGACTTTGCGTCGAAAACGCTGACGCGGACGCCCAGACCGCGCAGTCGCAGTGACCTCTCGCTCCAGCTCCCGCCCCCGCTGGGTGGACGACGTGGAAGTTGCTGGCTGACCAGGCTTGGGGTCCGCCTGGCTACCGGAGGCCGGCGGCGGCGGAGGGGGCGGCGCCCAGGCTCAACTAGGAGTCGTTGCCGAGTCCCGGCCCGAGTCTGAGGATAGGCGAGGGCGCGGCGGCGGTCCATCATGGGTGAGGAGACCGGGACGGGCGTCGGGCGGCCGAGGGTCCGGTCGGGCCACAGGCAGCGCAGCCGCCTCGGCTCTCCACCTGCGAGGGGCCGCTCTCACGGGCGCGCTCCTCCCGTCCCCCGCGTCCCCATCCCGGGTGGCGGCGGGAGCCCGCGCTCACCGGGGTGTCTGATCCCGCCGGGAGCAGCTGGGTGGCTGCTGCGTGGGCAGTTGGGACCGCGACACTTGGAGAAACCCGAGGCCAGGGGCTGCTGCTCCCGGCGGCGCTGCTCGCCCGCTGTAACTATTGGTGGGAATGGTTGAGTACGGTGGGTTGCCGGGTGGGAGGTCACGGCGGCGAGCCAGTGCGCGACAGCTTTTGATCGCGCCTGGCAGGTTTGCAGTTCCCCAGGTGAGGGAACTCCAGTAGTCGTCCCCGCGCACTCGGCGGTGACTCCCCCAGTCCTGCCGGAGCCTCTAGGGAGTTGCTTTCTTACAGTCCTTCCGCAGCTTTCTCCAAAGTGATCCCTAGCACCCTGATTCTGTTCGGTTCTGTATGACCCTGCAGTGTTGTGTTCCCGCCTCTCTTCTACGTGTAAAGGGTCAAAAGGACTTTGTTAAGTCACACCCATTCTCTGCCATGGTTCCGTATACAGTGCGACATCTCTTCCTGTCTTCTTCCCGTCTCCTTTCCGTGTGTGTGTGTGTGTGTGTGTGTGTGTGTGTGTGTATGTGTGTGTCCGTGTGTGTGTCCGTGTGTGTGTGTGTGTGTGTGTGTGTCCGTGTGTGTGTGTGTCCGTGTGTGTGTATGCGCTTGCTTGCTTGCATGCAGGCTGTGGATTGAAGTAAGCCTTGGGCATGCTAGCCAACGCCCTACTGCTGAGTTACAGTCTCAGCCCTTTTAAAACTTTGAGACAGGATCTCACTAAGTTGTCTAGCCTTGGACTCAGCTCACTCTATAGTCAAAGTTGGCACCAAACTCACAGTGCTCCTGTTTTAGCCTCCTCGAGTAGCTGGTGTTACAGGCCTGGACCTGTAGCCAAGAGGCCTTGCCTTTTATTTACATTACATGTAACCTGTATACATTGCTTATTGAACATATTCTTTATATCCCTCACTTTCCCCTCTTCTCATTTTATATTGGGAATCTTTTTTTTCCCTCTTTAGTCACTTTTGAAAGCAAAGAGTTTGTGCCACAAATACTTTGATGTTGAAGGGTGCCTTTGGTACATAATGTTTCCTGGAAATATTTCATGAAGTATTGAATGTGGTTTTACTGTCTAAAATGCGTATCTAATGATTCAGGAAACAGAGGCAGGCACATCTCTTAAGTTCGAGGCCAGTTATTGGAAAAACAAATCATCAACGAAATAGTTGTTGTTTTGTCTTGTGTGGCCATCGAAGTTTGTTGTGGTAGTTATGTGGGTTAGTGGAGAACACACCAAAGGTACGGGTACTGTGCTTTTATCAAAGGCTCCATTGTCACTGCTTCTCTGACTGGGACTTTGGTATTTAGGGAAAAAGAGGAGACTGCTGAATTATCGTGCCCTTGCTTGGACACAATATTGATTGGAAAGTGAACTGGATTCTTGAGGGCAGTGTCTGCATGTCTGATATTTAGTGTATCTTGTGCTGTCTGACAGTACTTGGACCTAGGAACATTATTTGTTACTTGTCTGCTGTTGAATAGTTTATCTGATTGGAAGCAAAAGTACCTACCTGTGCATCTGGGAATTTTGCTATTTGATTAGGCGTATAACTTTCAAAAGACAAGGTTAAATGTTTTATGGACCTAATTTAAAAGATGACATTAAATATGTTTTTTGTTTTTATTATCTTGTAGGTGGCTTTTTCTCAAGTATTTTTTCCAGTCTCTTTGGAACCAGGGAAATGAGGATCTTAATTTTGGGATTAGATGGTGCTGGGAAAACAACAATTTTGTACAGATTACAGGTTGGAGAAGTTGTTACTACTATTCCCAGTAAGTATTGGTTTGATAACTTACTATAGAACTTCTCTGGTTTCCATCTACTATATAACTTTCTGAATAAATTGATTAGTTGATGAGGGCTTGTAAACTTCTAGTATGAAAAGGATATTGGCAATACTGTTTTTTAAAATAAACTAAGATGCATTTGATGTACTTTAAAGTTCCTTATCCAGGCACACAAACAGGTGTCTGTTTAGAGCTTAAGTCACCTAATCTTTATTCTTAATGAAGAAACTAAATATCTACTGGCTTTGAGGAGTAAATAAATGAAGTGTATAATGAAGTATATAGATGTTAAATTGGTATTGTTGCATACAAAGTACATTTTTATGCATTTTTAATTACTTGAATCACAGTTTAGTTTCTTGTAAGTAATTCTGTAGTTCACTTTTAAAGATGGGAATTATAGAAGCTTATGTTGAAATGACTGGGTTACCTCAATACTGAGAAGAAACACCCAAACTTTAACTCAACTCGTAGCTTTATTATTCTTGCTGTCTTAGAAGATTATCTGCAGATAGTCCTGTTTTACTATATGTGGATGATATTGATGTTTGTACTTTTTCATTTGTGCAACTAAAGTTGTAGAGAGAAGAGTAATTGAAGAATCCATATAATTTGCTCAAGATTTTAAACTGTATTTTGAATTACTCTGTCAGGATAGTCCCCTTTTGTCACTAAACCTTCCAGGAGTTTTGGTTTTGCTTTTATGGAGGAATGTTTGGATTCTGTAGCATCTGTTATTTCCTTTTGCAGTTTTCTGTCCATTTCCTTTCCTTTGATTCTCACTTCTCAGTATCTCCCTCCCCTCCCCTCCCTCCCTCTCCCCCTCCCTCTTCCCTCCATCTGGGTAGCTTTTGGTGACCTCTGCAATACACAATGCTTCACCGTGGGTAGACTGCAGTGTGGGTGTGGGCTGCCTTCACCCCTGTCCTTTGCACATAAACAGTGCTCTTGATGGATGAACACAGCTGTATTTGTCTAGTTCTGAGGGAAGACAGGGACTTGCTTTTTAGTTTGCCACATTTGCTGTGGTTTTTTTTTTCAGTTGTAATATGCATACTTCCCTGCATATCATTTACCAACACAACACAACGTTAAATAGGAAACAAAAATCAGTGGTAACCAAGTCATTTTTCAGTCTAACTTTTTTGTTTTGTTTTTTTGTTTTTTTGAGACAGGGTTTCTCTGTGGCTTTGGAGGCTGTCCTGGAACTCACTTTGTAGACCAGGCTGGCCTCGAACTCACAGAGATCCGCCTGCCTCTGCCTCCCGAGTGCTGGGATTAAAGGTGTGCGCCACCAACGCCCGGCCAGTCTAACTTTTTTTTAAGCTTAGGCAATGTGAACAAACCTATCTAGCCTCAGTGTTATTTTCTCCCTCATTTAGACTCTTCTTTGAAAGTATCTGGTCTCAGCTGTGTAATGCCAAAGCTAGACCTAAGGAGGGTGGTAGACAAAAGGGGTGAGATATTTACTGTCCAGCTTGTAAGTGAGCTCTTGAGGCGTCTGCAGAGAATTCGGCTCCCATAGTCCTTGCTGTGTCCTTGTTGACTTTTAGAGCCCAGTCTTTCATAATAAGTTTAGTTTTTACTGCCCACCAGAACTTTAGCTTCTATATCTACAACTGCCTTTTCAGTGAAACTTTCTGAACATGCTGGGTGGTGGTGGCCTACATCTTTAATCCCAGAACTCAGGCAGAGGTAGGTGGAGCTCTTGTGAGTTCCAGGCCAGCATGGTCTACAGATTGAGTTTGAGGACAGCCAAAGCTGTTGCACAGAGAAATCCTTTCTCAAAAAACCAAACTAATAAACAAAGCCCTTTTTTGAACACTTTTATGTTAGTACTTAGTGGAGTTTAAAAGACTTCTAGGAAACGGGGGAGACTGCTCAGTAGGTAAAGTGTTACGGGTGTGACTTCAGTCCCTAGAGCTTATACAAAACAAACTGGAGGTGGTGGTACACAGTTAGGAGACCAGCAGTGCAGAGGCGACTGGTACATGCCTGGGGCTCGATGGCAGCAAGGGACACGGTCTCAAAAAAAAGATGGGCAGTGACTGAGGAATGATACACAGTCCTCTGATTTACACACACACGCACGTGTATGTGTCCCAGCATTTGTGTTAATAACATGCACAGAGTGGTCAGGAGATATTTTTGTAACCTGCAGGTGGTACTGATCTTGTTGATTTGTGTGCGCACGTGTATATGTGTCATAGTATATTGTCTTAAGTGTTATAATAATTTAGCCCATAATGTTATTGAAAATTACTAGCAGTTGCTAAAATTCAGTGAAGTTGGACACTTTGTAAAGGTAGAGTGGGTTAGTCTACATAGACTATTGATTTGATTTCTCTTTCAGCTATTGGATTTAATGTAGAGACTGTGACATACAAAAACCTAAAATTCCAAGTTTGGGACTTGGGAGGACAGACAAGTATCAGGTATGGTATAAATGCCAGGTAATTTGGTGGTATTTAATATTTACTGGTTCTTTGTAGTGCTGACAACACTAAACCAAAGTACATCTCTGTTGTAAATTATATAGGGGTCACATTGCTTGAGATAAGGTAGAATTTGAAGTTGCGTATTTCCTTAGAGTGTCCAGTGATTAAAATCTAAGGAACTCAGGTTTTCGGATGATCACTTACATGAAAGCTCTCTCAGACACTGGCCCCTTGTTTTGGTTTGTCTTGGCACCCTCCGAGACTGTTTGGCAGCTATACAAGGCCATGCAGAGGTGACGTAATGCAGATGCCTCCTGAAATTCAGTACTCAGCAACTTCAGTGTTTGTGACTATCAGTGGCTTAGGGCACCAGCTTAGGTTATAGTAAAATTACTGTTAGAAAGATTGATAGCAGCCGGGCGGTGGTGGCGCACGACTTTAATCCTAGCACTTGGAGGCAGAGGCAGGAGTATCTCTGTGAATTGGAGGCCAGTCTGATCTACATATCTAGTTCTAGGCCAGTCAGGCCAAATAGTGGGACCGTCTCATAAAAGACAAAGTAAATCAAAGAAAGGAAAGAAGTAAGAGATTGATTGGTAAGTAATACATTCATTAAATATTCTGCCATTCAGTAACTCATTTAAGTCACTCAAGATTATTTCTAATTGTAGCCAGTTCTATTTATAATTTTCATCAGTGATTAAGGACACATTAAAGATTCCCAACAATGGTGGAGCACACCTTCAATCCCAGCACATAGGATGCAAAGGCAGAAGGATCTCTGAGTTTGAGCCAGCCTGGTCTACAGAGTGAGTTGCAGGACAGCCAGGGCTGCACAGAGAAGTCTGTCTCGAGGGGGAACAAACAAACAAAAAACCCATCCTTTTCTTGTAAGGGATTCCTGGTTAAAGACTTGTAGGTTATAATCATTGGGTCTGTGAACAATTTTCCTATTGGTATATTTAGTGTTCTTTGTAGACTGTATTTGTATCTTCTCATCCTGAAGTTTGAACTTACTTCGAAACTAATTTTGGGCCTGTAATTTAGTATTTAGCACTCTTCTTTCAACCCAGTTACACCGAGTGTGATGCAAGATGTATTTCTGTCAGAAACAGTCAATCATTATGGCATTTTTCTGAACAAGAGAGGAGCAGGGCCGGGCAGCAGTGGCACACACCTTTAATTCCAGCACTCGGGAGGTAGAGGCAGGTGGATCTCTGAGTTCGAGACCAGCCTGGTCTACAGAGCTAACTCCAGGACAGACTCCAAAACAATACAAAAAAACCCTGTCTTGAAAAACCAAAAAAAAAAAAAAAAAAAAAGGAGAGAGAGAGACAGACAGACAGAGACAGAGACAGACAGAGAGAGAGAGAGAGAAAGAGAGAGAGAGAGAGAGAGAGAGGAGAAAGAGAGAGAGGGAGGGAGGAGCAGGGCTGGCATGTAATCATTGTCATTGATTAACCCAGTCCAGCATGTAAATTGACGTGCCAAGGTTTTTTCAAGGGATAATGGGTTTTCCATTTTTGGATTTTCTTTAGGCCATACTGGAGATGTTACTATTCAAACACAGATGCAGTCATCTATGTAGTTGACAGCTGTGACCGAGACCGAATTGGCATTTCCAAGTCAGAGTTAGTTGCAATGTTGGAGGTAAGCAAACATTTACAAGTTATCATTACATATTTAAATGAGGAACTAGAGGAATCATTTACATTTGCTTACTTTTTTCTTGTGTATATTATTGTGTATAATGATATTTAAAAACATGCAAGGACAGATTTCCTCTGTTCTTTTCCTATCTTTTCTTAAAGTCTTATTTCTTTATTTGTATGAATGTTTTGTTTGCATTATGTGTGAGTACCATGTGCATGCCTGGTGTCTGTGGAGGTCAGAAGGGAGTATCAGATCCCCTGGGAATGGAGGTGTAGATGACTGTGAGCAATGTGTGGGTGCTAAGAATCAAACTTGGGTTCTCTGCAGGAGCTACAAGTGCCCTAAACCAGTGGGCTAACTCTCCCTACCCCCCCCTTAAAGATTCATTTAAAAATATTTTCATGTGTGTGTGTGTGTGTGTGTGTTTGCATGTGTACATGCTTGTACATGGAGATCAGAGCAAAAATTCATAGAGTTGGTTCTCATCTTACCTTTATGTAGGTTTCAGAGTTGTATTTTTACATTTTTTTTTGTTGTTTTTTTTGTTTTTCGAGACAGGGTTTCTCTGTATTGTTTTGGAGGCTGTCCTGGAACTCACTTTGTAGACCAGGCTGGCCTCGAACTCACTGAATCCGCCTGCCTCTGCCTCCCGAGTGCTGGGATTAAAGGCGTGCGCCACCAACGCCTGGCGTAGTTTTACATTTTTAAAATTATTTTTTTTGAGGTTATAATTACATCATTCAAGAGGCCCCATCCTCCCTGAGGATTTGTCCTCAGTTAATGGTTGCTAGTGAAAGGAGCTATGTTTTCTTCAGTAATGTAGCTACTGGTAAGCACCCATTGTTCTGAAAGCCTAATTAATTTCATTAGGTCACTGAAAAATGAAAAGAAAAATAAAAGATAATTGCCATATACCACAGCAGTTCTAGTACTTACTTAATACATAATCTCTTCAAGTTAGGCGGAAAGAAAGGATTTCTCAGCCAAGGCAGTGGTGGCGCACCCCTTTAATCCCAGCACTCGGGAGGCAGAGGCAGGCGGATCTCTATGAGTTCCAGGACAGCCTGGTCTACAGAGCGAGTTCCAGGACAGGCTCCAAAACTACAGAGAAACCCTGTCTCAAGAAAACAAAACAAAACAAAAAGGTTTTTCCTTCTTTCCTCTAAGACCTTCCTTATACTTCTTTCTCTCTATAAAACTCATGACCTCTGTTCTCATTAATTAATTGTTATATATAATGGGTTTTTAAAACACAACTTTAGTCCTGGTTCACATTATGTAAAGTATTTCCTGGAAACGGATTACTAACTTCATTTTTTAATCTTGAGTTGTGTGAGATTGTTAGGAGTCATTTGCAGCTTTAGGATTTGATTTATCGAATCTCACTGAGATGAGCCTGTAATACAGGTACATGCTGTATTCTACTACTTGGGAGGCAGAGGCAGAGGAACATGAGATGAGACAGTCCTGGACTCCATAGTTCAAAGTCTTACTCGGAGCCAGCGTGTGTGCAGCTCAGCAGAGCACGTACCTAGCTTGCACAAGACCCTGGTGCACTCCCTCACACTGGGGAGAAGAAAACTCAGCAGAGCAAGAACTGGAAGTCTCCTTGCTAGGAAAGAGCCCTTGTGTCCATCAACAGACACTGTTGTGTAAAGTGTAGGTCTAGTGCCAGTCTGTGCTGTTAATATAGGACATGAGCATAGAGCACCTCAGGGTTACCTTCTTCGTATACATAAATACATTCTAAATTAAATAATTAATTGTAAAATATGGAAATCAGCCACAGGAATGTGTAAGTGTAAAGTATGTGTTTGGGAAAGCATTTCTGAAACAATGGAAAGATTTACAAAAGCAAAGATACTTTTGACTGTAACACAAAACCCTCAAAGTTCAGATGTGCTAAATATCAACGAATAAGACAGGAAATCAGGACTAACCAGAAATCAGTGACGACTGAGTAGTGCTTCTTTTTTCTTGAGATAGGGTCTTTTAGCCTCTGCTGATCTGAACTTGACTGCCATGTGTTCAGACTAGCATCAGACGTGATCAGCTTGCCCCAGCGCACTAAGTACAAGATGCTGCTCTTTCCTCCTCACTCTGGTGTCTAAATGCACACAGCGGGGCTTTCCTTGACGTTTCCTGTGTGTTCATGCTGTATTTTGTTTATATGCGCTTCCCTCTGTCTTCCCGGGTTCTCCCTCCATTCCCACTAACCCCTTCTTCCCAACTGGCCTCCTCTCTATGCGCATGTCTTTCTGTTGTTGTTATTGTGACCCAATGAATTTCATTAGAGTTGTTTACAGGAGTATGGATACACAAACACACACTCTTTTTTGGTTTTTCAAGACAGGGTTTCTCCGTGGCTTTGGAGGCTGTCCTGGAACTAGCTCTCGTAGACCAGGCTGGTCTCGAACTCACAGAGATCCACCTCCCGGGTGCTGGGATTAAAGGCACGCGCCGCCCAGCTACAAATACACATTCTTAAACACTATTTTTGTTTCCCCAAGTCAAAGGTGCAAATTGATGAAAGTAAATGAAGTCTTTTTCCATTTTATTTAGGAAGAAGAGCTGAGAAAGGCCATTTTAGTGGTGTTTGCAAATAAGCAGGACATGGAGCAGGCCATGACACCCTCAGAAATGGCAAATGCACTTGGCTTACCTGCCCTGAAGGACCGAAAGTGGCAAATATTTAAAACATCAGCAACCAAAGGCACTGGTCTTGATGAGGCCATGGAATGGTAAGTGTCTGTGTTTGAAGCCAGCTGTGATGTGTATGGGAAGCTTCCTATTGGATAGTGTTCTTTGTTCTTCCCCAGGTCCCTGCTTCAACCTCCTTAGTGTAGTGTGCATTTCCACACCAGCATTTGATGCTGTATTGGCTTTTTCTTGGGGATGTGACATTTAGGTAATAGGCAACGCTTCAAGCTTTTCCTCCTGCTGTCTTCATGAGTAAGCATCTCCATTTCAGTCACACTTATATGACTAGTTACTAGGTAAACTGTTCTCTGCGTTATGTCTGCTTCTAGTTCTGAGTCCTTCAGGAATAAGGCTTGCTTCTTGTCAAGAAGTTCTTAGAAGGCACGATGGTAGCTCATACATTTAATACCAGTCGTCGGGAGGCACATGCAAGACCAGCCACACGGCTACATAGTGAGACCTTCCTCCCTAAAAAGGGATTCTCAGCTGTATCTGTGATCCCACTATCTTCACACACAAGGGAAATTACATGCCCATATCACAGACAAGGCTTGCCGCATTAGTTTATAATTGTTTAGTAGGTGATTCTACTCTAGCTGTTTTGAGAATGGAGATCAGTTTTTAGCTCTGAAGTGTGCAGATGGACAACCAGCAGTAATAGCAGACTGTAGATACCTCAGACTCAAATTTGATGGTGCATGCCTATAATTTCAACACTTTGGAGGCAGAGGCAAGAGGGTCAGGAATTTAAGACTATCTTTGACTGTGCTGAGTTCAAAGTTAGCCTGGCGTTACTTGAGATTCTGTCTCAAACAAACAAACAAAAAAAAAATCAGTAGATACTTAGTCCTTTTCTTTAAATTGCTTTGAATCCACCTCCATTGTGAAATTGATACTGTAGATGTTCATGCTTTATAACTGGAAGTTAGTTTTCTTAAGCTATTGCATTTTTTTCTCTGCAGGTTAGTTGAAACGTTGAAAAGCAGACAGTAAGTCCATTCACATCAGGTCCTGTGAAGCAAATGCCACGTCACACACTCACTGCAATCAGCCAGATGTGCTTCTGTGACTGTCAGAACTGTGTGATTGCTGGCATGTACAGAACTGACTCCAATGTTTGTAATAAATACAAAAAAAACCACAAGTATTTGGTGAAAGGGTTAGCTTGATTGAATTACCCAAATGGTTTATGTAATGTAAAATATTCTTCCTTGCTTTCTTGTGTTAAGGCATATGTTCTATTTGTATGGAATTCTTACTCAAATACAATTCTATTAAAGAATGTACACTCTTGGGGGGAACCCTCCTATTTTTAAATTAGTGGTTGCATTTTGTTTGTATGAACACTAATATATAGCTCAGAATTTTTTGCCCTTAAAATGAATTAAGGCTTTCCAAAGATTAGTCTTAGAAAAATAGCTTAGAAATATAGTATGTATAATATAATCTTCACTTGCCTAACTGACTAGTTTATATTAAGCTATTCCACTTAAGAGTTTTTGGTTATAGGCATGAGTATTATTTTGTTAGCTCACTTAATTGACTTACATTTATTTTACAATACTTTATAGCTGTCAGAAGAACTTTACATATTTTGACCTGAGCATTATCCAGGCACCCTGTGAGAAAGGCAGGGTTCTGCTGTGTTGCTTTGCTAGGCCCTCCCTATTCAGTGAGGTGTGGTGAAGTTCAGAGTCTGGCTTCTGCGTCAGAAATCTGTGTCATAAATCATGCTGTTTCTGGAAATACCAACATGGGAATACAGACACCCAGGTGTGGTGGTACACACCTATAATCTAGTACTCAGGAGACGAGGCAGGAGGGACAAGGGTTCAAGGCTAGCCTCAGCTTTGCGGTGAGTCTGAGGCCAGCCTGGGCTGCTTGACACTACGTCTTAAAACAAAAATAACAACCAACCAAACAAAAAAAATATGCTAAAGTAGTTATAGACATTCAAAGTAATGTTTATATAAACTGTCTATGCTAGTAAAATGATAAATGGTACAGTCAAAATGATCACAAATGACTGTATTGATGAGTTCACAATACTATAAAAACTTCATATTAAAGAAAATAAAAAGTAATTTTAGTAAGTATTAACAAGGTGTCTTGACTGTCTTCCATTCATTTACCTTTTTCAGTATAAAATTGGTTAAAAATAAGAATTTTATTGGTTCTATAGCAAAAATGAAGTACTTCTAGTTTTAAAGATTAGGCATGCTGCAGGGTTAAACTTGTCTTCAAAGGAACTTTCCCAATCTACTAATCCAACACACACTTAGCAAGAGTGTGACAGTAAGTATAACATGTCCATAGTATCACTAACACTGGGGCATTCTTTCAAATATGAGCAGCTGGCATTTAGAAATTAGACACTGGTGAAGAGAGATGGGGACTCTACCCTTCCCTCCCATATATGGTCATTTTGTTGGGGAAAGTGAAGGAATGCACTTTGCTCCTGAGGAATTTTTATTTTTGGAGCTAGCCCAGGCTGGCCTCAAACTCCCAGCGATCCTCATGTCTGGCTGAAGTTGTGGCTCCTAACCGTCATGGCCAGCTTGGGATTCGTAACCTTTTGTGTTTGCTTCTATTTAGTTTGATTTCTTTAAAAATTTTTGGGATCCTCTTCCTCCAGGCACAGTTATTCCCAATTCAACAAAACAAATGAGTACACTTTTGATGGGCAAGGATGAATTCTAGTAGCCATGTATGTGGACATTCCCTTCCATTGGAATATACTCATACTTGAGGCTGGGAGGTGGCTCAGTGTTTGCTCTGCAAGCTTGGGGATCACCCTTTGATACCCAGCAAGCAAGTAAAATGTCAGGCATGTCTTTAACCTCAGTGTTGGGGCCAGTCTAGTAAAATGGCAAGGTCTAGCTCCAAGACCTTCATCTCAGAAAACAAGATGGAAAGTGCTAGATGAAAGTTGACCCCTGACCTTCACATCTGCATACACACGTGCATCCCTCACACCCTAGCACATATACCATGAAAAAAGTCTACTTAAGGTTGAAATAAGATATATACCTGTCAGGTACACAAGGAGCACTTCAATACATACTTGTAAAGAGTAAATTTATATACACTGAGTTACTAGGTCTATTCTCAAGGTGCTATAAGTACTCCCCCATGATTCTGGAACACTGGAAAAATAGGGTGTGACAGACATATACTGCCTAGCACATAGCCCCTGCCACCTGAATCTGATCATGATTTGGCTGATTCGCCACATACTGGCTAGAGTGAATCCTGAAGAATGAGTGTGTGTGTGTGTGTGTGTGTGTATAAGAAACTTGGTAAGGAGAGTGTTTTGAACCTTGCGTGTGTGTGTGTGTGTGTGTGTGTGTGTGTGTGTGTGTGTGTGTGTGTGAAGTTAAGGATAGTGTTTTGAACCTATCTCCTTAGGTTATTTGCTGAGTCTGTTTCATCTGTAAAATAGGAACAATTTGCTGGGTGGTGGTGGTGCACACCTCTAGTCCCAGCACTTATGAGGCAGAGGCAGGAGGCCCTCCATGAGTTCGAGACTATACTGGTCTACAAGAGCTAGTTCCAGAACAGGCTCCAAAGCCACCAAGAAACCCCGTCTCAAAAACCAAACCAAACCAAACAATTTTGAATCTTAGAGACAGTATCAGAATTAAGATGTAGCCAAGTACCTAATAGACAGGATGGGTTTTCTGTTACACAAATATACTGGGCACTGAAGAATATTGCTTTGGGGGGAGAGGTGGCCAGTGGTTAAGAGCACTGGCTGCCTGTTCTTAAGGACCTGGGTTCAGTTCCCAGCATCCACATGGCACCTCAAAACTGTCTATCACTCCAGCTCCACAGATCCACTGTCAATGCATATAAAAGTTAAATTTTTTGGGGGGGGGGTTTCAAGACAGGGTTTCTCTGTGGCTTTGAAGCCTGTCCTGGAAGCCTGTCTTGTAGACTGCCCACCTCTGCCTCTGGACTGCTGGGATTAAAGGTGTGCGCCACCAACACGGGGCAAAAGTTAAAAAAAAAAATATGGCTTCAATGTTGAGTGTGGTAAGCAAATGATAACGTGGCTGAACAACTAAAAACAGTTTCCTTCAAATGTGTGAGTCACTGTAGACTTGGGTATCTTAAACCTTAAATCAACTGGTAAAGTTTCAGTGAAAAGCGTATCAAATTTTTGTTTCTTGTTAGTTCGCTCGATTTAAATTGAGGTATTTGCATATAAAGAAAATATGGGGAGTAACAGGGAATAGGAACTCATACAGGGTGCCATTGGTGGTGGTGAGGCTAAAGGCAATGATTACCAAACAGCATGATGTAAGTTCTAAGAAGCTGGTACAGCCACTAGCAGCTAATCGTTACTATTAAAGATCATTTCTGCTTTTTTTGTGTATACCTGTTTCTTTTGCCACTTTTTCTACATGCTTTACTTATCACATAGTCTGGAAACAAATCCTTTAACAGTGGCATACGGAATATGCCATCTTATAGTGACCCTCTTCAGGAGACAGGGTTTCCCTGTGTGGCCCTGGCTGTCCTGGAACTAACTCACTCTGTAGATCAGGCTGGCCTCGGAACTTGGAGATCTGCCTGTCTCTGCCTCCTGAGTACTGGTGTGCGCCACCACTGCCCAGCCAAAAAAATTATTTCTGTGTATGCCATGTTAGTGTAGGAGTCCTCCCGGACTCGAAGAGGGCATCAGATGCCCTGGAGCTGGAGTTAACAGCTGTTCTGTGTGACAGGGTTGCTGGGAACTGAACTTGAGTCCTTTGGGGAGAGCAGCACCAAAGCCTGTATCCCTTTGGTGAGAACTCAGCTCCACTACTGACAGCACTTTATTTCATCCTTTTCTAAAAGCACCTTGCTTTGGTGGTTCACTGTCTTGTCTTCCATGTAAATTTTAGAATTGGCTTTATTAGCTTAACATAATTTTTTGGGGGGGGTTTGGTCCCATATGCAGTCAACCAATGGGATCAATTTAAATTCATCAGCATGGCTATATCTTTGTTTGCATAATAAGTTTACATATTATTACAAATACTTTGTTTTACTTTATTCCTAAATTCTACTTTTTGCATATATATTTATAAACATATGTGCAAACACACACACACACACGAGGCAGGGTCTCTATATGTCTTCCCGAGTTCTAGGATTAAAAGTGTGTGTAACCTAACCAGGCTTACTCCCTATTTTAGTGATTTTTTTTTTTTTTGGTTTTTCGAGACAGGGTTTCTCTGTGGCTTTGGAGGTTGTCCTGGAACTCGCTTGGTAGTCCAGGCTGGTCTCTAACTCACAGAGATCCACCTGCCTCTGCCTCCTGAGTGCTGGGATTAAAGGCGTGCGCCACCAACGCCCGGCTATTTTAGTGATCTTTTTGTGAAAAAGCTAGGCTTTAAACCAGGTCATTTAGTACCATACACTTTTTAGACAATGAAGATACAGGAGTAGCATATTAAACATTTTAATTTAAAAAATACAAGCATGATCACATTAAAATATACATTATAAACCTATGCCAAAGTTTAACTCATTTTCTTTTGGTTGAGATCTGTTCTCAATTAGTCCAGTTAGCCTGAAATTCACTGTGTCGTCCTGGCAGGCCTCAAACTTGCGGTAATCCTCCTGCCTTAGCCTTCCAAGTGCAATGATTACAGGTGTGTAGCCACCACACCTACCTTCCAAAGATTAACTTAGAAAATAAAATCTGCTAGGAATTCAGTCCAGCAGAGTAAGGCTGGAAGTCCAGGGTTTCACTGGCTGAGTCCATGTGAGTTACTGTTGGGCACACAGGGAGGCCTTACTCTACTATTGCTAAATCTCTCAGGCTGTGGGATTTCTGTCTTTTGGCCTTATAGCCCGGGCGCAGGAACTCTATCTTTCTTTTCTTGGCTTCACTTTTATTTTTATGTTTCTTCAACTTTTTCTTGGCAGCGACATCAGGATTGGTTACAAACTTGAAGAGAAAGCAGAGATCTTTTGTTACTTTTAAGGTACATGTTAAAAGAATCCAAAGTGAATGCAGAAGCTGTCTGTCATTAATGAAAACCCTCCTCTCCAGCCCTCATCCCTCCCCTGGGGACAGGAGCACAGCAGCAGACTCACCTCCAGAGCCTTCCTCTTCTTGCGGAGAGCCCTCTTCTCACTAGCCTGTTTCTGTACAGAGGCAAAGGCCACTGAGAAGTTCTCCAGCCCAACCAGCTTTCTGAGCAATTCTATGATTTCCTGGGATAGATTCTTCAGCAAAGGATCTAACCACACAGAAAAGATGAGAGGCAGGTACACATCAAAATAACATTTAAACTCTTGTGGCATCATGACTAGTTCTCATT